TTGGGTCAGACTGAGTTCTGGTGTAAATAGCTCATGTCGGACACCGGTGTCCTATCTTGACTAGCGTATCTAGGGTGTAAATTTTGTTCGCTAGGTCGGGGGGACCGGGAGACTAAGCAGAATTTTGGTGAACATTCCGTCTGCTAGATCTCACCCTATCTTGGCTAAGTGGTAGGCGTGTAAATTCAACCACTAAACCATTGATAGCGTAAAAAAGACTAAATGAGTTCTGTTGTAAATTCCGCTCACTAGTTCGCTATATGTGGTGCTTGGGCAGCATAGACTAACCGAACCTTGGTGTAAATTGTTCGATAGTTCTCGAGGTGCTGGCCAATTAGAATAGTTGGGATTATTGTAAATGTTGTTAAATATATTGTAGTTGGTGAATTGGTTAACTTGTATGTCCTACTAGAAAGCTTGAGCTCTGCCATCTAGTGGGAGTGTAAATTGTGTGTATAACTGTAAAATAGCGCACAGTACCATAACTACTGACATGTACCATAACCACTGACATTGTGTAAAAATTACTAACAATTGCTGTTTTATGTTATATGTATAATACCATAACTGTGACTAACTGATATGTGACTTTAAAACTGTATTATAACCACTTACTAACTGTACCATAACCACTGACTGTAAAGATGAGGTTACTAGAATGTGATATAGTTGGTTAGTCAAAAGTTGATTTATAGTACGGATAATTGTAGAGACGAAATTGTTGAAATGTTATGTGATCGGTTAGTTTATATGGATTAATAGCATGGATAGTTGTATGGTTTGATAGTTACAGTGATGAATATATATATATATATATATATATATATATATAGTGTCTGGTGAGTTTTGATTTTACTTGTGTGTGCGCGACGTCGTGATATTGTTGAGCATGTGAGGATCCTGTGTGTGCGTGCATGTGTGTGTTTGGGCCTAGTAACTGTGCAATGTGGTGCTGGTGATAAGGAGATTGGTGTGACTGTTGAAACGGTGTGTATATTTGTACAGCTTTTTGAATCAGACGTTCTGTTGAAATAATCTTTTGATTCACAAGGCTGTTGGTCCTTTGTCTTGTATGTTTTTAAAATAAATAAATAAATAAATAAATAAATAAAAAACCTGTGTAGTAGGGAGTAGCCTGTCCTGGTGGCCGCATGGCCTCCATGTAGCAGTCTTCACTTAAATTTAGTGCAGGGTGTACATGTGGCTGTAACTAGTAGGCCGGAATTCTATGATCAGTTTCTATATATTGACTGTTGGAAACTGATTGTTGAAAAACTGCCTTGGTGAGTTAAACTGTGTCATATGAGAAACAATGGAGCCATATGGTGGTCAGAACTAAGGCCTTAATTACAACTGCTTTGGACATCCCCTCCCCCCTGGCATCTGATTACCAACCCCCCTATGCATCCTCCAGAGCCAGAGTAGCCACGCCCCCATTCTTCCTCCCAAAACTGGATAGTTGGTATTTGTACTCCCCCTGCTCTACTGTCCCCGCCTACCCACATACCTATCTGTTCTTGTGTTTTAAACTCTTGTATTTCTGTACTACCCGCCTTCCCCCTAATCAATGGTATAAGATGGTATATTGTCTTTTTTTAGTTACTGGATGGGCCCTCCCAGCTTTGTCCAAAATGTCCCCTTTTACTAAAATACAAACTGAGATGTTTAATTTACCTTAGAACTAAAGATTTAATTAAGCCTAGATATCAGGGTGGACAGTGATTAAAATATGTAGAAATAAAATAAGGACATAATTAAAGTCTATCTGCTTCATTAGACTTTAGGGAGGCACTCTAGGGCCACCTACTGGCCATCTTCGGGAGTTACATTGATAATACATTGTTTATAACAGACAGAAGTAGGATTGCTTACCCTATTTTAATATATTTATTGCTATAAGGTTTTATTTTATGTATAAATATATTAAAAGTTAAGTTTTATTATTAGACCCATAAAGATTATTTTGATACAATTACCCTCTGGTGACACCTACTGGTAGGTTTTTGGTTTAACACTTACTTTAAAAAAAAAAAAAAAAAATTTCATCCACCAAATGCGGACTAGTAAAATTAGCTCACCCCCTTACACCTATTTTACTACTCCCAGACCGGAACCTATTATTGATCAGCCTTGCCGAAGTCCCATACTAACCCGACAACTGACTGGCACCCTTCTATCCCGACATTGCCATATGCCCCTCCGACTTACACCTGGCCCACCACATATTGACGTTAATGGACAGTTGCAAATGGCAGATCCTGTATTTGTTTAAGTCCTTTTTACTACATCCGACCTGTTTAATTGGAAGACCCATAACTCTTCATATACCGATAAGCCTAAAGTCATGACAGATTTGGTTGCCTCAATCATACAAACCCACAATCCTACTTGTGCTGATTGCCAGCAAT